GGTGACACTGCCACAGAGGCCTGCTGGTTGGTTGACCTATTTGTCTGCCGCCTCGTTTGCAGCGCAAAAGTGTCTTGTTAATGTTCTCTTTGCGCAGCGTAGCCTTTATCGATTTTGAGAAGCTGCTAGGCGACGGTTAGATCCTTTGCCGACCACAAAGTGCGGAGCTTGACCAACACAGGAAGAGGGCACGAAGCGCCCCTGGCCTTTGACTCCACCAAGGCCATCTCGGATTTTTGCGAGCAGATATACAACCAGCAGCCCCTTGCGAAGTGAACCCGTCATGTCTGCAACTTAGCGTTGGATTCTTTGCCTCAAGTGAGATGAGGCAAAGCCTGCAGGGCCATGTGTGCCAATCTCTGCAGAAGTCGCTTGCCACAACTGTTTAATTCCGTCTGCAGGCGCCTTGGTGAGGACACGAGGGAAACGGCTAGTGACTAGTGCCCCTGATTTATAGCTCATGAGTTAATTCACCGGTGCAACCGCGTCATGAGCACAGCACTGCACTCCCAAGACGCTCTTGCTGTTTGGAGATTGCAGCCAGAAGCTCCAGAGTTCCGAACTTTGCCGGTGCAGCCCGCTGGCAGAGCGCCTGAAGAAAAGAGATTTGCGGCTTTTCTGCTGCGACCCTGTGGTCCTTCAAGAAGGCAGTCCCGTGATGGGTGGAGACCGGGGGCTCCGATCGCTCTGGTCTTGGCAGAACCGAGGTGGTGGTTTTCACGGCCTCGGCGAGCATCTATGCTGACAAGGTCCTGGACTTCCTGGATCCAGGACTTCTGCTTTGAGGGTTTCGAGCTGCGAAGCCACGGGGGACGGCTGCTAGGGCGGATTCTCATCGCGCACCGCTTGTACAGAGAGGTCCGGGCCCGACATGACTTGGGTTCCCCCAAAAGCGCCCTGCTGTGCACAGGCTTGCACCGAGATTGCCGGGGGCCACTTCAAGGACGGGCACATCGTATGGCGCTTGGAGCAGACCCCCCAAAAATACGTTTGCTTGATCTCAAGCGCAGGACCTTCGAAAGCTCGGCAGGCACATGAAGGCCATGGGCAGACACCCGCAAACCCTCGCGCGAAACATCCTACGACGTAGGAGCCAACGACACATGTGAGCCAGATCAGCTTGTTGCGATGTTGACGGACTCGTTTCTCTCGCTCGCGGTGCGTTGGTTGCGCTTCTCTCAGCATTACCTTTGCACCGAACCCTTCCTCGGGTCATCTCCGCCGAAATCGTGGCTCCGGTCCATCAGCGCAAACCCCGTTTCCCCATGTTTTCTGATCCCTCTGGACACACCTTTCGATAAGTCGTCGAAGCCCTTGCTCCAAGCGCCAAATCTTTGCACGCTTGGGTCGTCGGCATGCCGCATGCCAGCTCCGAACCTTAAGCGACTAGCAACAGAAAGTATGACGAACTGGCTAGATGGGTCGCAATTGCACGCAGATCGCCTTTCAACTGCGGAGCCTGGATTTGGTTACAGCCCCAAGCTTTGTGTCGGAGGATGTGGTTCTGGTGGACAACTCACCCCTGGCACCCGGACTCGTTCCCGAGAACGGACTTCTGGTGAGGCCCTCAGTCATTTCGCCCTTTGCAACTGTGAAAGCTGACAGCTCAGAGCAGAACTTCGCAAGAGGTCGCAAGCTTTGGATTTGGCCAAGGGTTTAATCGCCGCGTGTTTTGTGTCAGGGTGCTCATTCGGGCTTTGCTGCAGCGGAATGTCTTGAGCATTGTTGTGCGAGTGTGGGCAGTGCCTTTTGCAAGTCTATGGAGGCTTGTGTTGCCATAGCTAAGTTCTGTTGGTCCGCATGACTGTTGAGGGGTTCCTAGATTGTCATAGTTTGTTGTGTTGCGGTGGAGTCTATGAGAATAGAATGACAGGAAGTAGTGTAGCAGTACTTGCGGGTCGGTGACCTGCAAGGTGTCGAGCTGGTACGGCGATGACTGGCAGGAGCCGTGGGTGACCATATGTGACCATGTCGTGTTGCGGAAAGCCGTGGTCAGCATGTGCATGGGCCATGAGCTTGTCCAACAGCTCAAGCACAGAAATTGACAAACACAAGTCCGCTGAAAGGCGGCAGCTTAAGCCAGATCCTTCATGCATACGACGCCGGCCAGTAGGCCCGGAATCAGCTCATCCGAACTGCGCCTTGCGACTCATGGCCCATGGCTTCACGCCACGCGCATCAGCTGTGTGGAGTCCAAGGCTGTCTGCAGTTTCTGGAGCCCAAGGCTTTCGTCGAAGAGCTGACCCGGCAAAGCTTCGCCATCGTCTCTTGTCCAGCGGACGTGGCCAGGCCGGTCCGGTTGGCCATGCAACGCGCCGAGGCTCTCCTTGGCATCTCAGCAGCGACAGGGCTTTGCTTGAACTACAAGCGGCAGAAAGATCTCAAACAGCGGCTTCAGGTGAGGCGCACTGGCAATGGCCTCCATGCCGCCGAAGATGACCCAGCAATCCTGTCATCTTCCTTCGAGGTGATGGAGGCAGTGGCGCAGGTGTCGATGGAAGCATGGTGCGACAGCCAAGGCTTCCCCTCGCAGGCGGCAAAGAGCCACTTCGGCGACCTGTCCTTCGGGGAGGAAGGATATCCCGAGCAGGGGCATGGGGATCCCGGTACTTCCGCAAAAGGCAAATCGGTCTTAAATCTTTACCATTACTTCAACGAAGATCCTGAAGAACCATGCCGCCAGCATGCGGATCCGGGACTCGTGACCGTCCTTTGCTGCAGTAGCACCAGGAAGGGCTTGGAGGTCCGGCTGCCCCTCGAACCCGGTGGTGCACCCGGCTTGCCTGCCACCTATGACGAGGAGTGGCAGGATGTGGAAGCAGCGATGGACCTGCGGCGTACCGACGCCCAAGTGTCCCAAGATCCCAGCAACAGCGCACCGGAGGCCTTCTGCTTCCTCGTGATCGTGGGCGAGACCTTGGAGCGCCTAAGTGCTGGCCATCACCCCGCTTGCCTGCATCGCGTGGCTCGAACAAGTGAGCCACGCTTCAATATGGCCTTTGAGCTCCGGCCTCGCTGCAACGTTTGGCACCCCTGGCAGCAGCTCCTCGCTCCTCAGAGCGGATAGAAAAAGCCTCTCACCGCGAATCGAAATGCACCCCGGCCGCCACCACGGCTGCCCAGTCTCTACTCACCCAGGATACGGAGCTCAACAGCGTGGTCGTGCTCTTGAACAAGGCGTTCCCTGGCATCCTCTCTGCTTGTCTGTCTTCTTGAAGTCTCTTGCAGCATGTGGTGCTCTGGTTGCTTCTTTTGTGGGGGCCCATGCGAGTCAAATCGCCATGCACTGCGAAGCTTGCTTGTTGCCGGCACTCCGCGGCCATCTCAGCTTTGGGGCACGGCTGTGAGACGGCCCTTGACCGAGCCTTGGCGGCAGTCGCAAGCTTCAAGAAACAGATGAAACAGACGATGCATGCCTTCCGAGTTTCCTTTTGCACATGAAAGGGGCAGCCGCGCCATGTGCCGACCTTGGTTGCTTCGAGATCGGGAGGATCTTTGGGCTTGTGTTGAAGTATGCACGCCGATGTGCTGGAGGGAGAAGCGGCCGCGGCGCTTGCTTGGCTGCGGTCTCCTGACAGCTTTGCTCGTGCCTTGGCCCCAGCTGCGCGAAAGGCTGGATCGTCAGACTTGCGCACACACACACACACACACTAGAGTGCGGAGCGATTATTGGAGGTCGTGGTCGTGTGTCAGTGCCGAGTGCTCAGACCTCGTTCAGCACAGGCCGCTAGCCGCAAGTTCAAAGCAATGGGAGGGGTTCTGCAAAGATGCCAAGGTCAGACATCTCTCCGCTCACAACTCTGCGCGGCAGCATCTTGTTTGCACTGCAGCTCCGCTTGGCAAGCGGGCCAAAGTGTCCTGCAGTGCAGTATCATGTCGTGGCAGGACGACGTTCTCTCTGTGGAAGGTGACACCGAAGAAACCAGCGGCAGTGACGGCCCCGACAGACGTGGTATGCATCCATAACCATTGACACGCAGCTGTACCGGGCTAATTAAGCCATTGCTGCTCTTGCAGGCTTCTTGTTCCATGCTATATCAAACAGACTTGGACCCCGATACAGAATTAAACCTGCTAATTCCACAACCATCATTGCCAGATAAAAGTCTTGTGGTCGTTGCTGCCGGCACCGCTACTGCCATCGCTGCCGCAATCGCTTCTGCGCCATCGCCAGCTTCGTCAGACTCATAGTCATAGTCATCCTCGTGAGGGAGCATTAGCCATCTTGTTGCTGGTGCTGGCGAACACAGCTGCCGAAACTATCTCGACGCGTAGACCCCTATTCGTGTTTGGAAATTTCTGGAAGCCTCTAGGCGGACGATGGCGAGGGGGAGGAGGAGGACGACGTGCCCAACAAGAAGGGGCCGGGGTCTCTTGCGGCTGCGAGTGTCAGAGCTCAGCTCTCGGCCACAGTGGACCAAAATCACTTCGACCGACGATGGTGATGAAAGCATTGACCCACAACTTGATATTTCAAAGCCGCATGTCCTGGCCGTAAACCCGTGTGAAGCCCAGAAGACTCAACAAAATACCAGCAACAAGGGAAACGACTGCATACGTTGACGTCCTTTTTACGCTAAGTGCTGCAGTTGCCTGCAATTTGGACACGCTCCTCTCACTGTTGTGGTGTTGGCAACAAGTGACGTCATTGAAGCCGCGCTTCCGAATGTCGTGCAGTATGTCAATGACCAGTTTCAGCCCACTGGAATTGTGATACAGTTTGAAGTCTTACCTGATGCATTTGTCATGCGTGCTGTTGACGACATCTTTCAGTGATACAGAGTGCAATCGTCATGTGTGCTGGCATCTAACAGGTCCATAGCTTCGAGAAGGGAAACGACTGCACGGCAAAGAGGGGGTAGGCAAACCTAACATTGTACTCGCAGTCAGTAAAAGACCCCTTTTACTCGGGGCATGATGGCGACACCCGGGGTCTTCTTCACATGTCAACCCAGGCCCTTGGGATGGTTGCATTACGCATCTTGGCAGCATCCTAGGCTGTTGAGGTTCATCTGCCAAGCTGACAGGTGAGACACGGGAACCAGTGGATAAGGAAATCGAAGCTGGTATGTTGAGTTTGGGAAGCGGTTGAATCAGTGCGCCGTCGCCTGTTCGGGGCATTTTCATTCCTTGGTCTGACTTTTTATGTTTATGAACTGCTGGAGAGCTGTCCCTCTCGGCATTTCAGATCTCACGCAATTCGTTCTTGCAGACTGTCAGGATGTAATACTGGCGTCACGGACGTCATATCCAGTTGCGCTGATGGACCGCAACCTAGTCTTCCAGGAAAGATTGTGCACATTCATGTTGGAAGCCAGCATAGACTCATAGACGCCACTGCAACCAGAGCTTGCCTGAGATCGGCTTCACATGCTACGGCAATGTGGTTTTGCGTGGCAGCCTTGGCGAGGACTTTGCTTTCTACTGAGAGCAGTCGACAGTCTGTGCACGAGTCCTTCGTCTTGTCTCAGTGTTCTTCGGAGGGTGTGAAGTAGGTCGCCGAGTCACAGGACAAGGGAGTATCTGGTATGGTTGAAAGACTAGAGCCACTGGATTCCCGATGCACGAACGGCACATCCACTCAGGCAAAGAAAGCGCCGACAAGCCCGGAGCATACCATGGTTCCGCAAGCCTTGACAAGTACAGGACTCTCGTGTCCTTTGCAAGGCCCTACCCATCCTGGCTGTTTGGCTGGTTGCTTGGGATGGTTTGCTATACCTATCCCGGCCTGCTCCTGAGCCTCGCCTGCACTGTCGCTGGCCAAACGCATCGGCGTCTGTGCAGGTGCAGTTTTCTCAGACCTCTTGTTTGTTCCAAACGCTCCATTGAGCTAGCCTCAGCAGATCTGGCTGCGAGACATTGGGGTACTAGTGGCGCTTTTCCTGTTGAGGCGAGCGCTTACCAACAACAATATTCTGCTTTGGTTCAGCATCTGGTACCTGCTTATTCAAAACTCAATGTGGGCCAGAGCCTTGAAGCTTCTCAAGTGAGCTGCCGGGACGCGTAGCCATTGCGTAGAGGTGTATAAGGCCCTTCAGCAGAAGCATGCCTGAGACTTGGCTTGCCGCGGCCTCGGCAGCAAAAGTTTTTTTCCTGGCCACCACGGCAGGTCTTCATTTGGCTTACGACCTGGTGGCTTGCAGATGCAACTCGAGCTTCCTTACTCTTTCTGGAACGAGCCGTTGCCCATCAGCCTGTGCCGAGCGCTCAGTCCGATGCGTTTGGGCCTTACCCCTAAACATGTGCTGCAGCCATTTTGGCTCAAGTTCTATGGGCCCAAACATCCAAACCGCAAGATACGGCATATTTCATGCCATCAAATGGGCACAAGCCACAAAACTCTTGCAGCTTGGGCAGCGACTGCCCAAATCAAAGAATAAACTTCCAGACGCATATCGATAATAAGTTGTGCCGGTTTCGAACATGCCATGCAATGGAAGATGAGTTGTACCGAGAGGATCCTCTGGACGACCTCGAAGATGATGCTGATGAGGCAGACGGATTTGAAGAGTCTGAGGAGGAAGAGGACTTCGACGAGGATGTGGAGGAAGAGGAACGCGGTGAAAACGACGCGGAGACCAAAGATCTCGAGTACGAGGACGAAGATGCCTCAGTGTCCTCCATTTCCAATGAGACAGACCACAGCGACTCGGATGACGATATGCCCGAAGTCCAGCGAGGCCCTGCCCAGGTGTTCCCCGAAGAACGGTGGCGACGCCCAGTGGAGAGGCTCCGCAGCGCGCTGTTGTCCTGCTTGCTTCCTGTGCTGCTAGCAGTGCTGGTCCTCTACTCGCTTTACCGCGGAGTCAAGCTCTTTCTCCGCTCCCTCTTCGACATCTACATCGTGGTGAAGTGCCTTGTCCTGCTCGCGATTCGCATCGCTCTCTTCCCGCTCTACCTTCTGTGGCTTCTGCTGATCCCCTCCTTCATCCGTTCCTTTATCTGGGAGAAGTTTGATGAGCGGATCGGCCGTCGGCTTCGCAGAGTCGTCGCGTTCAAGCGTAGCGTGGAAGAAGTCATTTGCGACATCCCTGACATGCTTTGGGCGTGCATGCTCGCTGGGTTCCATGCTTGCCTCGTGCCGATGGGGACAACATGCCAGACCCTGTGTTGGCTTATCTGTGGTCGGACAGTCATGGAGCGCGTGCTGGATCCCTTGCATGATGCGGACGTGAACCGGGTCTCCTGGTCCAAGCGGAGGTTCATCGAGGGGCGTGGCGAGAAGCAGAAGAAGGCTGCCTCCCAGGCGATGCTGGCAGCCTCGCATCTTCGGAGGGCCAAGGCCCAGGCACTGAGGGCCAAAGCACGCAGGCGAAGGCTGCAGAGGCGTCGAAAGGAGCTCAATATCGAGCTGGCCTTGCCAGTGCACATGAAGAATAATCTGTCTCCGGACGAGCTGCGCGTTCAGCTTAAGGAGTTCGACCCATCCAAAGTAAAGAGCCGTGTGATGATCGTGGAGCGCCGCTACGCTGTCTTCGTCGGCCTTGCTTGGATGCTGTTTGGCCTGGCCGTCCTCGTTTGGACCCTCGTGGGCAGTGAGGATGAAGCGTGCAGCATCTGCACTGAGACGCCGCAGTCGGGCTTCCGGCTGTGCCGCCTTGGGGTTGGCCAAGAGTGTGCTTTCGCACATCACAGCAGCGAGGTCATCGCATCGATCGTCCTCATTGGTGTGGGCATGGTTCTGTCTATCTATGCCACGTGCCTTTACCGTCCTCGGAGCAAAAGTGGTGAGGCCATCGCCGAGGAGGAGGCCAAGGCCAAGAAGAACTACCAAGCTTTGGCTGCCCGCCTCAAGAAGACGGAGGACTTGGAAGCCCAAGTTCAAAGCATGCTCGAGGACCACTTCGAGAAGCCCTCCTGTGCCAAGCAGATGCGAGAATGCTACTATGCCAGTCCCTTGGGCTACGTGCAGTATGCCGTGGACAGTTGCGGCCGGGCAGTGATCCGACCAATCCTCCGTTGCGAGCAGCGTCGAAGGTTGCGACAGCGAAGCATCGTCGTGCAGGGAGCGCTGGCATTTCTTGCCTTTGGCTGGTTGTTGGCTTTTTGCGGCCTCTGTTCGAGGTGCCTGCATTCCTTGTGCCGCGGAAAGGCAGAGAGAAGACGGGTGAGCAAACCGGAAGGTGGAGCTTCGTCCCGCCCGAAATACAGGTGCTGCCCGGGACTCCGACGGCTCCTTGAGCGATGCTATGTGTGGCGCGCCTTCCTGTACTGGACAGGCCTCGGTGGTCGTTCCGGCTACGGCTACGGCGGTGATGACTCGAAGGTGGTGGATGCCGCGAAGCGCAGTGCTGGCGGGGGGGCGAGGACGCTGGAGGAGACCTTGGCCCAGTTTGGCTTGGACGCCATTGTGGCAAAGGAGCAGCAAACCTTCCACGGCGCTTTGCAGTCGCTCCTCACGGACGGCTATGAGGAGATCACTCAAGAAGCGGGCTGGACTGGCGCAGATATCGAGGTTCAGATACCTGAGAGGGATTTGGAACTTGAAGAGGAGGATCGTGACATGCAGCCGACGGTAGAAGTCGAGGACATGGAGATGAACGAATGCGAGGAAGAGGTGCACATCAGCTAGCCCACCGTGAGTTGTCCGGCAATGCACGCCACTGGCTTTCTCACACATCTCTGGAGGATTCTGCTGCCGCTGCCCCCACCACAAAGTCATTTCTCGGGAAAGCAGCCGTTCGAAGCAGTGAGGTGGCCAGAATCGTTGCAGGATGTTGATGTGGTTAGGCAGAAGTTGCCTGCCTCAAGTGTGCGTGCAGTCATGAGAATACAATGCATGGAGCTGCAAGAGAACAGTAGGTAGGCACATTGGCTGTGCGGGAGTGGGAAGGAGATTGAGTAGCACATGTGCATTCATCTAATTTACTCTGCATGATGTGATGGCCACTGCATGTCCTGGCTGTGAAAGCTGAATGAGGCTTGAGCGCCTGTGCTAGTTAAGGTGATAGACTTGCTTGGTTTTGAAACAGGGCATGTCCCACTGTGGATTGCCGACCTCTGCAGTGCTGCCGATTGAACACTAGTCATATTGGTTCTGATATCTCTATGTTTGGGTGTGACCATGGCGAAGCACTGCATTCACTAGTTGAGATCCTGTGACCTATGTGGAGCCTTGCCTGCCTTTTGCGAGTGTGAGCGTCGAAACATGTGCTGCACGTGAAATTGCAAAGCTCGTTTGCAAGACAGTTGCAACGATGCCCTCTCAATGCGGTGGATGCTGCACGTGAGTAGCACGGCAAGAAAAACTTGTGCAGAGAGCGACCATCGCTTGTTGCCCTGTGCCAGGTTTGCGCGAGGCGTTTGGCAGGCCGGCGGCTGCGACTTTGGGAACCATGTTGCCTGCCAGCTTCGACTGATTCTTTGGTTCAGCGACAGATCTAGCAGAACTGTCCGATTACGAATCCACAAAGCCACAACATGCTTCTTGCATGTTAGTATGGTAAAGTGTGGTACAAGGAAAGGGCAGCTATGCAATCATGTCAACTACGTCGTTGCAGGCTGAATAATTGCAAATGGCTGTATACCCTCAAAATCCTAGTAGCTCGAGCTTGAAAATTCGTATACCAAGCATGGAACCGGAATCTGAAGGGTCTGCTGCCCCAACAGTTGCAGTGAAGGCCTTCGTGTGGTGTGGTGCGGGACCCGTTGCTCGCCTAGCCAGCGGCCCAGCTTGGCTGTTTGAGGAAGTTGGACTTCTCGTGGACATGCCAAAAGAAGGATGAGAGCGGAAAAGAAGACAGGAGACTCATGCTAACGACGGCAAGCTGATACGGTTGTGCTGCCCTCCCAACAACAAAAGAAATAGTGGTATAGACGTAAGCGAGCAAGAACATCAGTAAGTAAGCAAGCAGATAGGCAAGGACGTCAGCGTCTTTGTAGGTGATTGAGCCAGCAAGCAAGCAAGGAAGTAAACCCAGTAAGCAAGTGAGCCAGCCGAATGCGAGGGCTAAGAAAGTGGGTAAGTAAGCAATTACGCAAGAAGTAAGCATGTAAGCAATGCCAGCACAGATAAGTTGAGTGAGTGACACCCTCGTAACGGGGCGAATTCACATTAGGTCATTTGGACATGGTTGTGAAACTGTCTCTTCACATGTTTCTTCAGCAAAGCACTAGGGCGTGCGGGGGGCCAGCAGCATGGTTCATGGGAGGCTTGATGCCATGGACGGACCTGTGCAGGTCGAAAAATCGATCAGGGGAGAACCCGTACCTGCCTTGGACAAGGCCGGGGAGAGGTCCTTTTTCGATTCGCTGCCGTGTTGGTGATGGCAAAATGCGTGCGTGTGTCGCAGGGTGCAGGAAGGGCCGTTGTCAAATTTTTGTGGTAGTTGTTGCAACAAAACTGCCTGTGACCGTTGGCGATCAATCTTTTCGCCGCTGGGCAGCGGTGAGCAGGTGCAACCCAACAGCTTGAACGTCTTCAAGTTTCCGCTCATTGCGATGTTCTGGAACATGATTTTCTACATGCCCTGTTCTTAGCAATTTCCGCGCTGGCCGAAGACTGGGTCTCCTCTCTTCCTGTGCTTTCTGCAGGGTGTGCTTGGCCTACTTCACTGACTGCAAGTTCTTCGATGCAGAGCCAAAGTTGGACATGGTCCAGTGTGCCGCCAAATACGAGGACTTGCATGAATGACACCCCGTCCTAGAAATGGCCGCCCGAGTTCTCCCGAGAGGATTTCTACGGCTTCTGCACCTACATGCCCTGCTTCTTGCATCTCTGCCGCGCATACTATGCCTCCTGTCTTGAACCAACGAGTGTTTGGTACGGACATACCAAAGAGACCCCTTGAACCTCAGTCCAAGTGACGAAGCTGGAGTTCCTGCTCAGGCCATGTACTCCCAGGGCGGAATGGCATCGGTCTCAGCTTTGAAACTCGCCGCATCAAAACTTCTTGTCTAGCTTTTCCCTTTCCGAAGGTCATTTTCGGCGATGGTTTCTGCATGGGCAGCAGTAGCTTGATCCAGAAGATGTCGAGCAGACAGAATGTCGCCCGGTAAGATAGGTCAGGCCGAGAGATTTTTGGAAAAAAGGTCTCTCGTGACGGCCTTGGCAGCGCCCGTCGAATTCGAGAAGTTTCAAGTTCTCCAGTTCCATCAGTTTCAGGGCCTTCTGCTGAGCTGCGGAAAGCGTGCCCTTCTGCGTACTGCCCTGGCTAATGACCTTGCTCACAAGCAGTGGCTACCTGCATGTAGTCGGTGGCCGGCCAAGGCCACCTGAAACTCTTGCCAATACCCTTCCGCTTGGTAAGTTCCTAGCATTCATGAAGAGAAGTGCGATACAGTTCCGTGTTCTGGCAAGAGACGAGGGAGCACTTGCTCGGCTGGCAGTGGCGAAGCGCCAGAGCTGGCAATCTATTGAATGCCTTGCTGTCGCACAAATGGGACGGCGGGAGAGCAGACGTCGCCTTAATCAAAGAAGTGTTCATGCCAAGATCGGCAAATGGCTGCTTACTGTCTGCTCTTTGGATCGAGCTTCAGCACTGAGCGCTAGACTCTAGACTCCGCTAGACCGAACCGGACGAATCATGTGGAAAGCACTCTTGGCAGGGCTGTTGGCCCACGTGCTAGCTGAGGAGGATGGCTCCTGCTTGCTGCAGGCCCAGCACGAGGCACACGGAATGGACAGGCGCGCGATGGCCGAGGCGAAGCAAATGAAGGCCCAGCTGAGGCATGCCTTGCATGACAAGAGTTGGAACAAGGGCTTCTGCAAAGGCGAGCCCATCACGGAGTACAACTTCAACGGCTTCAAGCACGGTGACGAGATAAAGCCGAATGCCATCAAGGGCATGACGATCACGGCCACTCGCCGTGCCACAGAGCCGGAACCGGGTTTTGGCAAGCCTTGCCCGGGGCCCCTCCTGGTTTTAGACACCCGGGAGGATTTCCGCAGTGTGGACAAGGACTTGCAGAGATGCAAAGATTGCCGAATCGTCGTTTGGTCCAAGGACGGCAACCGGCGTAAGGTCAATGACTGCGGGGAGCATCCGGGCGTGCTGGTCACGATCACCTTCAAGAAACTCCAAAGTTTGCAAGAGCTCGAGCTTTGGGACCTGGAGGAACCGACCTTCGTGGAGCTCTACGGCACCAAGAACCGTTTGCTGAAGAACATCTCCGCCCCCGACGGTCCGGGCCAGGACGGCAACCCGGCGATTTTGCAGCTCTTGACTACGCACGTGCGCACGATGAAGATCTACTTGGGAGGCTCTGGGGGAATCCGGCGTTTTACTGCATGCAAGGGCGGCAGCGTCTGGGGTGATCCCCACATCTACACCCTCGATGGCGACAAGTTCGACCTCTATGAGAACGGCACCTACACCATATTCCAGTACTCCGGCCAGAAGCTTGCGCAGCCTAAGCACAAGGGACGTGCAGAGGTGGACTGGAAGCTCTACTCCCACTACGGCGGCCCACTATGGACGGTGCAGGGCTTGCTGCTGGAGGATCGTTCCATGGGACGCTTCCGCCAGGCACTGGAGTTAAGCAGCACGGACTGCGAGTGGCGCAGCAAGACGGGGGACCGTGGCCATTGGCAGGTGCTGAGCGAGAGCGGCCACTCTGTGTCGTTGCTGGAGGACGAGGACTACGTCACAAGCTTCGAGTACGTCAACGAGAAGAAGATCACGCTGCGCATGAACGGGGAGCACGGCAGGAAGGACACGATCGTGATGAACACCGTTTGCAAGCCAAGCGGCATCAATCTGCGAGTGAGCATGCCCAACATGGCCGACAGCCAGTTCTTGGAGGGCCAAATCAATCCCGCCGGTGGTCAGCACATGAAGTTCCAGACGAATCAGGGCTGGGCAAAGTTGGGTGGCAGTGCCGAGGTTGCGGAGTTCCTCGAGGGCCTCGAGAGCAAGCATGCCTTCATCGCTGCATCCTGCGAAGATGCCGAGCGTGCCACGGCGGAGAAGCTGTGCAGCAAGCACTTGGGAGGGGAGATGCGTGCGGCCGAAGGCATCAATGCACAGATCTTCGAAGACTGCATCTCCGACGTGTGTCGAGGTGGCGAGGAGTTTGCGGAATCGGCAGCCGAGATGCTGGCAGGCCTTGGCCAGTGAGACCGCGAGGGGAGTAGCAGTAGCATTTGCTTTGCAGCCGTGTCCTCCCTCAAAGATGTCGGGGTAGGCTGAAAATGCAGTTTTAAGGATTTTTTCTTTTCGTTGTTAAACAAGTTTTCCACGCCGTATTCTTTAGGAATGCGCAGTGGTCTGAATTGTTGGAGTAGGCACGTGTCATCACGCGTCTTGCAGATGATAAAGTTGGCTGAGCCAGCTGATTGTGCACAGGCTGGTTTTGTTGGTAGATGTTGAACCAGAACTTTCGCAAAGCTGCTGTGACCTGCGCAGCTCGCCGCTGCGAAATCCTTGCCAGAGTATCTGGAGCCACTTGGAGCAGCAAAGCATGGCAAGTTCGGGAGTTTGGGGCTCCTTCGGGTGTTGGGATATGTTGGTATCTTGCAGTGCCGGCTCGAAAGAGCGATCTTTAACAACTTTTCAATAGCTTGAAGTATTCTTAACGCCTGCGCTGAGGCAGCGCTACGGCTTCAAGTCCTTCTTGCAGGCCTGCTTGTGCAAATTTGGGGATCCCTTGAAACTCTGCTGTGATCAGAGCGCACGGACCATCTGACATGTTTGCTTCGAGAGTCCACAGCAGAGATGTAGAAGATCCTGAAGTATCTAAGCCCAAGCCCCAAGCAGGAGCTTCGAAGTGCCTCGGTTCGCAACACCAAGCCCCTCCTCAGCGCGGCGACGGCCGGGCCCACGACTCTTTGAACTGCCCACAGAGGCTTCCCAAGAGGATGCTACACACATCTGCCGTCATGGAGCATCCAGCGTAGAGCTCCTGAAGATGTGAGCAATACCACGTATCCCTTGCAAGTGTTGTCACCTCCTACAAGTAGCAGCGCCCTTGTGGTCACGCCATGCAGAGGCGCTCCATCGAAGTTTCTCTGCAGGTCCGGCTGCAGATGTGGGGGATGAACGCTGGGAGTGCGGTGACCCAGGCAAGGGGGGCAAAGGGACACTGTTGTTGAAAGAGTTAGTAAAGGGCATGTGCACGTGCCGAAGTGGCAGTCGGGGAGGGAATGTGTCAAACTATCCCCGGAAGCAAGCAAGGCTCAAACCGTAGGATGGCGCTCATGCAGGTCGGGATCAAGCTCCCATGAGTTCATTCTAAAGGCAGTGCCACAGCAAGGACTCTAGCAGGTGCTTCCAGTGATCCGCGTTGAAGTTAAGACGTAAGATGTTTGTTCTCGAGCAGAATGTCAACCCCATGCCTGGATCTCAGCTTGCCATTGTCCGGGTTCCCGAAAGGGTGGTGGTCGTGGTGGTGGTGGTTGTCCCATCCGTCAACCGATAATCCCAGGTTTCGGCCTCCTTTGGCCCTGGCGGTCATTGCAGCCGCCGCGAAGCTGGTCACGACCGCTTGGGATGGGGCCCCAGGGTGGCTTGGAGGGGACGGGCAGAGAGTTCTGCTCTCCTTCTGGCGGAGGTCATGGACGAGCCTCTCTTGAAGAGCAGCGCAGCTCTGAACCAGGCTTTTTTAATTTACTGTCTTCGGTCTATTTCTGGCAGAGTTCAAACACCTTTCTTCTCAGGAGGTGCATGAGCCGAGGACGAAAGCCAGGGCCCCGCCGCCCCTCCGTGGCCCCGTGGATTTGTTTTTTTGAGTGCCTCTGCCTACTCAGGTGCTCAGGCTGCTGCTGCGGCTTCTGTTCTTGGCTATGGCCTTGAGCCAGCTGCTGGAGGAGGGCGAAGTCGGAGGTTCACTGTTGAGGTTGGTTGGTAGTTGCTGGTAGTTGGGTATCGAAGAAGCTGTTTCGCCGACGAGGTTCTGATGGTGTGCCCCTGCCTTTCGACTGAGGGTGCACGCCGACACCCCACTGCTTGAATGACACTACTTGTATCCTCGAGGCCTTTTCCAAACTAATACAGCAAGTCTTCCCAAGAAGAATGCAATCTCACCTCAGCTTCAATGAAGTGCCCTGGACGAAAAGCAAGTCTTCCCAAGAAGAATGTAATCTCACCCCATCTTCAATGAAGTGCCCTGGACGAGGACTTCTTCTCGGCCATAGGCTATCTGGGTCACTTCCAGGGCTTTCAGTCCCGCGGCAGCTGGAGACATTCTTTGTTTGAGACATGTTTTTGTTTCATGTGAGAAAGAGCCACCACACGGGTGTGAGTATAAAGTGCAATGACAGTACGAGTAGACAACCCTCCTTTTCATGATTATGGGAAGAGTTGCAAAGTGCAGTGTGGTGCTGGTCATCGTTTCTCACTTCCGTTTGTTCATGCTTCTTGTTATCGTCGAGTTTGCAACAGTTTTGGCACATGCTCTATTTGGTTGCACCAGTTCTTACAGCAGGGGAACGACAATCAAGAGCAGTACGCCAGCTAAAGAGACGACGACGACAAAGAAGACGACGGCTGCTACTGTTTTCGCTGTTGGATTCCGCCCGGGGATGGCTGCGTGCATTCTATTCTGTGTGCCTGCGCGCTCGTATTGTCGGGTAATGTCGGGATGCATCCGATTTTGAATACATCCTTTACTGCTGCGGGTGCTGTGTCGACGATGACATCATGAAGACGGCCATGCCTGGAAGCCGGCGAACACTGCTGCTGCTGCCCCTGCTTCCACTACCTCCCTCTCCGTCTCTCTGTCTGTCTCTGTCTCACTCTCTCTCTTGCTCTTGATCTGCTTGCCAGTACTACATCACTACATCTTACTCTGATACCGTTCCTTTGAGTTTTCTTCCTTTGCCGCTCGCCCTTGCTCGTCCCTCTCGAACATCTGCTCCTGCTTCGGCTGTTCTCAGGAAGATGCATGCCTTGGCATTGATGCTGGCCTTCAGTTCTGGCACTCAGCTGATCTTGTCTCTCGCCGACAGGGCATCCAAGCATTCCCAGGTCCAAACACGGTGGCAGCAGTGGCTGGCACGTGGATGATAGAGGCTTACACTTCTGTGAGATGTGGCCTTTGTCACTGTCGGCTTGTCGCCGTGAAAGAAGCCGGCAGGTGAAAATGAGCTGGACTCATCGACTATTCCTTCAGCCCGACGTGTGCTGCCCTCGATGTCTTGGCGATGAGCATATGTTCCCAGATCATAGCCGCCGCGCTTTTCCAGGGTGCATGTGTGCCCAGGCTCGGCGTCATCTCGGATGCCATAGCTCTCGTGCCAGCCCCAAGAACGGGCTTCGAGTTCCAGAGCCGGAGAATGAGAACGCAACCGCACACTCTGAAGCTCTTTGAAGCTCCTCCAGAACCCCCATTAAATATCTAAGTGTTGTGAAGTACTACTTTCACACCCAAGATTGCCGCAAACTGTATGTGGCGGGCAAGTGCTGACATCAGATCGAAAAAAGAATCTTGGCCCATAAGCTTGCTCTTGCCGTGTCACTCCGCCTTGTTATCGTTGTTGTCTTGTATTGCCTCCAAATGCCGATTGTTGCCACTATGGTGGTGTAAAAAGTGTGGGGTTCATGGTTTCATTCAAAGACAATTTCCACCCGGAATGTCGATGGCTATCAGCGTGTTGCAGTCATCGGTTGTCGGCACTGCCAAGATTGCAAGCACACCCAGCATTCCGTAGTGTAACAACCACCAGTCGATGGACACGACTTGGCAAGTCGATTTGCAAAACCAGAGCAACAACTAAGATACATTTTAAAGAAACGAATGCAGAAAAAAAGCTACACCAAACGTGCCCTGCAGCTCTGGGAAAGCAGAAGCAATGAACACAGCCAGCACTCACTACATGCTCGCACTTGGGATTCCTATCAAGATTGATCGCCTCGCAGTTGAGATCAGAGGTGGGGGGCGGGCTGGAAACAGTGAGGCCTGGGAAGAGCCCGGCCTTGTGGCACAACTCCCCTCACTCCCCCGGCCCCCCAGCCTGGGTCCAGGATGGGCAACGTTGAGCTGTCACTGCTGGTCAGCATTTGTTGTGCGATCAAGTTTTGATGAGGAATCCTGCATTGCTGTCCAGCATCATGGCTCTGTCGGTGTTCGGTTAGCTTCTTTTATGTTTCTGGCTAGTTTGTATCGGTATTTGGCTTTCGGAAAAGTTTGTTCAGGTTTATATAGCATTTTCTGGAATCGCCTTTTGAGGCTTCTCCATGCCGGTGAGGGTTACCGAGTCTGAGGTCTGGGGTAACTGCGGGGCTTACGGCTTGGGATTCTTTTTTGTGGTGTTGTGTTGGGAGGTGCTTTGGATCTCGGCGTAGGATTTGGGAAGTGCTTTGTGTTTGGTGGTTTGAAAGGTTTGATTTATTGGTTTATTCGGTGGCTTGAGAAATGGTGTAAAAGCCTACGTGGGTATTGGATGAGGTCTGGGGCAAGCCTATGCTGGCCCCTACCCCCATACACTTTCTCTACGCAGCATGGCACTGTTTCCGCGGCTCTCTAACAGACTCCAACAGTGCTGGCAGTGTCAGTCCTCAGGTGTACTGGGGTGTGCTTGGCTTCGTCTATGTCTTCCCGCTCTTCCTCTTTGGAACGACTGACGGGGATGGGTGGGTTGCTTGCAGCTGGAATTGACGGTACTCCGAATTGCAAAGCTCAAAGCATGTGCCCCGAAGCTTGCAAAAACGGTCAAAAGGACCCACGGCGTGCTGGGATTCTGCGCCTTTCGGTGGCATCCAAGTGAGACCTGGGGCGACGAGCCTTTTGCTTCTCGCGCTGCAGGTGATGTGCTATGCCTTCATGTACGACCTCATCACATTTCCGTGGAGGCACGAGGGCCGCGAGGACCGTGTGGATGAGCAGGCCAGGTGCGCACATGTCTGCCGAGGCTGGTGACCGGACACATGGCCGAGATTTGGGTGGCAGTGCCTGTGATCATTGCCGGGGCTCTGCTGGCAATGCTGCCGCTTGCCTGGGTCGGGGAGGGAAAGAAAGAACCACGTGTTGCTGCGAATTGCATTGCACGCTAAGGTACGTGCTGGTGATGATGGGCGCCGGGCTTTTTACTCCCGTGCAAGAGTGAGCGTTTCATGCTCTGACCTTATTTCTTACTTAGGCTACTACTCCTTGGTGAAGTTCCGATACCCGGACATCGCTCAGAGTGCTCCTGAGGGAGGTGGCAAGGAGAAGATTTTCAAGGCTTTCAAGGCCAGCAAGCTGGTTTTGTGGGACGAGGTGCACCCGTGCGCATGCTGGGCGGCAAAGCGGCCTTGGTAACCTCCTCTCCGTAGCCATATTGGCTCAAAGTACAGCATCCTCGAACAGTGATACAAAAATAGATTTCCAGCTCCGTGGCGGCCATGAGGGCCGGACCCTGGACTTTCTAGCCACACTGCGAGGTTTCATTGCAAGTGCAGGTCAAATCATTGCTGGCACTGACCATGCTTTCGCCATCTTGGCGACGGATGGAAGTGTCACGACCTGGGGTGATGCCTCCATGGGTGGCGATACTACAGCAGCCGGTGTAGCTGCGAGCTTAGCCTCCGGTGTCCAAACACTGGTGGCTGGGCGCGGGGCTTTTGCGGCTTTGAAGACAGATGGTAGCGTAATTGCTTGGGGAAGCTCGAGCGAAGGCGGAGACTCGAGTGCCGTGTCGGCGCAGCTCACCAGTGGTGTGACTAAAATCGTCTCCGGTCTCTATGCTTTCGCAGTTATGAAGGTTGATGGAAGCGCTTTTTCGTGGGGCCATGGATCCTTTGGTGGGAATTATGGATCTGCCTCAAGCCAGCTGACCTCCGACGTTGTCGACATCTTCTCCTCAGGGCACGCATTCGCAGCCTTGAAATCTGATGGAAAACTAGTCACTTGGGGAGCAGGCAATCAAGGCGGCTCGCTGACAGTTCCAGCGGATGTGACATCGCAAGCAAGCTCTGGGGTCGCGACTGTGGGCTCGAACAGCCACGTGTTTGCTGCAATCAAGACTGATGGCAGTGCCTTCACATGGGGTGAGGCACCTTACGGTGGTTCACATTCCGAGCCAGTGACCTCGGAGTTGACAAGCGGCGTCGTATCAATCATTAGCGGCCATGTTCGAGACGGGCGAGTGTTGGCCGCCATGAAGTCGGATGGAAAAGCTTTGGTGTGGGGCGGTCAAACAGGCTCGCACGTCTTCAGCGGCGTGAAGGCAGTAACCGTCTCAACGCATGCGGCTGCAATCTTGTTTGCCGATGGTGCGGCGGAGGCGGTCGGCTCCTCCAGCCATGGGGGAGACGAGAGCTCTGTTTCCTCCCAACTCACCAATATCGGTGCCATCTACAGCACTGGTTATGCATTCGCCGCTGTGAAGACCGATGGAAGCGTGGTAACTTGGGGCGACTCCGGAAGAGGCGGAAACTCTGATGCGGTAGCAGCCGACTTGGCATGCTGCGTGCAGGAGATTTTCAACACAAGAACGGCTTTCGCAGCATTGAAGAGTGATGGTGGCATCGTTGCTTGGGGGGAATCTGCGCATGGTGGAGACACCAGTGGTGCGGATGTTTCTTCCGGCGTGAGGCTCGTCCACGGCATCGAGTATGAGAACGACGGAGCTTTTGCAGCCGTGAAGTGGGATGGCTCCGTTGCGACCTGGGGGCATAGCAGCTCAACTGCTGGCTTGCCGTCCTCCTTGAATGTCGGGACCATCACCTCCTCCACCGCCACGTTTTCGACCCAGACGACCACCTCTGCCACCACCACGAGCCAGACCATCACACGCACAGGTGTGACATTGTCGCTGGCGGCGAAGGGGGCGATTCCTCCGCAGTTTCGTCGCACTTGACTGCCAATGTGGACCGAGTTATCGGTGGGCCTCAGAAAGAGTGTCGTCATATGGCCGCGATCAAGTCTGATGGCACTGGCCTCGTGTGGGGTAGCTCCGAGTCGGGAGTGTACTCCAACGTCAAAGACATTGTGCCCAACGGCAGGGCCACAGGCATTCTCTTCAACGACGGCACCGTGCAAGTGATGGGCGATTCCACGCACGGAGGAGATACAGGTGTCGCTGCAGGTCTCTCAAATGTGGAGAAGCTCTACAGAAGCGGTTTGCTGGGCTTCGCAGCTGTCTATGCCGATGGAAGCGCTACGACCTGGGGTGAATATGCGGACAGCAACGGCGTCGACTTGTCATGCTGCATCAAAGACATCCGCTCAGCCTGGAATACTGCAACGGCTCTGAAGGAAGATGGCAGCGTTGTCAGCTGGCAGAGAGGAAGGTGGGGTACTGATCCGACCGACAAGTTCACGCAGATCTTCGACGGCTCGGTGCACAGGTGGGACGGGTCTGCTTTCGCAGGGATCACCGATGGCGGCAAGGTGGTCACCTGGGGTGTCTTCTCTAATCACCAGCCTGCTGACCTGCAGTGGTTTTCCACTACGACGAGTTCCACGACTACTGCTACAAGGACTCGCACCCGTATGGAGGCGGTGCCCCAGATTGTGGCGAACGGCGGCGGCTTTGCAGCGCTGACGGCTTTCGGCAGTGTCACGGCGTGGGGCAGCGACACGACTGGCGTGGAAGCAAGCTTGACGTCAGAAGTCTACCACATAGCAGCTACCAAGTCGGCTTTCGCAGCTCTGAAGAATGATGGCTCGGTGGTGACTTGGCCGACCTCGGACACCTACGGTGGCGACTCCAGCTCCGTGGCTTCACAGCTGCAAAGTGGCGTCATCAAGCTCGTGGGCGGCCTCTATGCTTTCGGTGTGCTCAAGGATGACGGCAGTGCTTTGTCCTGGGGCGATTCCCGCTGGGGAGGTGCAATGACGACGGGTGCCAGCAACGAAGTTTCAGTGGCAAGCGAGGTGTCCAGCGACGTGGTCGACATTTTTGCGATTGCCCACGGCATCCAGGCGTTGAAGGCCGATGGCAGCCTCGTCGTCTGGGGATCCTACACCCAGGGTGGCTCTCTCCTCCAGCCAAGCGATGTATCCGCATCGTTGGCCTCCGGAGTGGTGAATGTGGGGGGCAACAGCCACGCCGTGGCGGCGCTGAAAGACGATGGAAGCATCGTCACTTTCGGGAACTCCGGGAAGGGCGGCGCTGTGCCAAGCGGAGCGGCGCCCTACTTGACGAGCGGTGTTCTTTCCATCGTCAACGGCCATCCGCGAGACGGCGACCACATCGCTGTCATGAAGTCGGATGGCAGCGCCGTTGTTTGGGATGACTCCTCCTACGGTGTCTACATGAACGTGAAGAGTGTGACGGTGAACATGAGAGCGGCTGCCATTTTGAAGAACGACGGCACGGTTGAGGTCCTAGGCCTGGCGAGCCACGGTGGGGACAGTGCAGACGTGTCCGGCTTGACAGACGTTCAGGCACAGTCTACAAGAGCGGCTGGGCCTTCGCCGCGGTCAAATCCGATGGAAGCGTCTTTGCATGGGGCGACTCCACCCGGGGCGGAGATCTCGGCTCTGCTGCATCCTCGCTGACCAATGGCGTTCAGGTCAGATGGCACTGTTGTGTCTTGGCCACTCTCTGCTCCTAGCGATCTCTTGCTGTGGTCGACGACTACCAGCTCGACTACTTCAACGGGCACGACTTCCACGTCGTCAACCCAGACTCGGACAACTTCTACATCTTCGACAGCCACGACGACAAACACGCCGGTGGAATGCTTCCAAGGGTCACGTTGCGGCGATGTGAACATGTATGTCGGGGATGGTATTGCAGTTGCTCTGTACACTTCCGGGTACGATGCAGCTTGGGGAACCTGGTACGGGAACATCGATGGTTACATTGAGTCAGAAGTCCAGAGCATCGTGATGGGGCGCAAGTCCTTTGCCGCAGTAAAGGAGATGGCACCGTTGCCACCACTGGTCAGTACTATTTCAGCCAGAGTGATCTGGAAGCCGGTCTGGGCTGTTGCGTGACGAAGGTGGCTGGAAGCGACTGGGCCTTTGCCGCTCTGAAGGCGGACGGGAGTGTGTACTCTTGGGGTTATTCGCTAGAAAGCGACACCTCCTCAGTGGACCTCTCCGCCAACATCGTGGATGTTGTGTCCAACAGTGCTGGCTTTGCTGCTGTCAAGAACGATGGCACCATCTTGACATGGGGCAGAGCCGGTGCCCATGAACCCGGAGCTGTTGATTTGTCGAACGTCTCGGTGATCGTGGGCGGAGAGTGGGCATTTGCCGCACTGAAAGCAGACGGCTCCGTTGTAACTTGGGGCAACGGTGCCGGCGGTGATTCAAGTTCCGTTGCCTCCGAACTTGCTTCGGGCGTTTTGTCCATTGAAGCTCCGAAGCCCGACGGCTTCCATCGGGGCTTCGTTGCTTGGAAAGCCGGTGGCACGGCCGTGATTTGGGGCCACAACACGGACGGAACCCACATAGCCTTGCCTTCCCAAGTAATTTCAGATGTGAAGAAAGTGGAGATGGCAGGGTTGGCCGTCGGGGTCTTGAAGAATGATGGGACCGTGATCACCGCCGGCCGGGCAGATGATGCCAGGAGCTTCGCTGATTCTAGCAGTGTTGCGGCACAACTCACGAACGTCGTTGACCTCGTCTGCCCAGCCTACGCATGCGCTGCGCTCAGGGTCGACGGCACCGTGGTGACCTGGGGCTATGCAGACTGGTTTGGATCGAGCAGAAGACTTTCAGGCTCCAGTGGGCTCACGAACATCCAGAAGATCTATGGCTCGTTCTACTCGTTCGCCGGACTGAAGACGGACGGGAGTGTGGTTACCTGGGGTTGGAGTGGTTCCCAGTACGGCACAGATTTTTCAAGTCCCCGAAGCAGCACGAGCAGCGAGGTCCAGTCGGATGTCGTGGAGATCTACTCGAACCCAACGGCCACTGAGGGAGGTGGAGCTTTCGTTGCCCTAAAGCAAGACGGCGGCATCGTCGCCTGGGGCAACTCACAAACTGCGAGCATCCCATACAACAGGCTCACAACCGTCACCACTACAACAATCACAACCACATCCTTATCTACAACGTCCACGAGCAGCTCAAGCACTTCCACACACACCATGTCGTCAAGCACAACTGCAACATATACCTCGTCCACAACCTTCTCAACAACTACCACATCATCTACATCTACGAGTAGCACAAGCACTTCCAGCACGAGCACATCCTCCGCCAGCACCAGTACCACATCGACATCGTCTACGTCAACATCCTCTTCAAGCACATCCTCAACATCCACATCGAGCTCGACTACCTCTAGCAGCAGCACCAGCACTTCCACCTCGAGCACATCCTCCACCAGCACCAGTACCACATCGACATCGTCTACGTCAACATCCTCTTCAAGCACATCCTCAACATCCACATCGAGTTCGACTACATCCGGCAGCAGCACCAGCACTTCCACCACGAGCACATCCTCCACCAGCACCAGTACCACTCTTCTAGCACATCCTAAACATCCGTAGCCATTTGGCTCAAGCCATTTTGGCTCAAGTCCGCCGTCAGCTGGCGTGTGTGCCCCTGGAGCGCGGTCGCGCCTTCCGGGCCGCGTCGGGCAGGCTTGAGCTCTCCTCCTCCTCGTAGTCCTGTTCTGAGGCCTCCCGGGTGCATTACTCCACCAGTCCCTCTCGTCGTGTCGTCGTTCGTCGGGATGGCGGGGTCGGACGAAAGTACGCTCCTGTTGCCCCACCTGCACCGTTCCGAACAACTGGAGGGGGGGGGGGGGGGGTGGATGACGCTGGGACGCCAATTAGCTCAGGGGCTCTTCTGGGGGCCGAGCAGCCCGACATGGTTATGCAAGAAGCGGCCCAGGATGCGCTCCGGGCCGCCTTGGGGGATGCCGTGGGTGGGCCGTGTGATCCTGGACCGGGGAGAGGGGTGGGGCTGGCGGAAACTGAAGCCAAGCAGGCTGAAGCAGCAGCGGTGGCCGCTAATCTCCTTGCTAAACACCAAGCCACCCGAGCCCCCAAGTCCTCGCCTAAAACAAGCCCCGAAAAGAAAGCACGACCTCCGACCCTCGATCCCGCTGCCGCCAAAGGACCGCCAGTGGGGCTGCAACCCCCTCCCCTTTTTGGGGGGGGGCCTGTCCCCCCCGACAAGAACAAACGCCCGCTGCCACAGGAGTACGACATTGGTGATGATGTCCCCCCGCCGTGGGCAGCCTCACTTCAGGCGGGCATCGACCGGCTTCATCGAGGACAACACGAGCAGATGCAGGCCATCCAGGTCACTAGAGATTCCATTCAGGGAGTAGCAGATAAGGTGCAGTCTTTGGAGTCGAGGCAGGATTCGCACTTAGAACGAACTGCGGCTCTTGAGCTCCGTTTGGCGGCTATGGAACAGGAGATGAGGGATTTTCGCTCTAGGTCTCCTAGTGTCACCTCAGCATACACTCCGACGCATTCACCTCGTGGGGCTCGTGGGAATCCCGCGCATGATGATTGGCAGGTTGTTTTAGGCGGTTGGAAGGATGCGAAACGCGAGGACATCGAACAAGAAGTGAGAGACTGGTTCACGAGAGCTGAGTGTGGCCCTCTCCTGCAGGCCATGCATTGCAGCTCGGTGCGTTCCAACACGTGTAGGGTCGACTTGCTGTACATGCAGGATGCCATGGCAGAACGACGTAAGGTCCAAGGCATGTGTGTTGAGGCCCTCCGAGCAGTTGCTCAGCCAAGCTCCCTTCCAGGGCAAGGGACGGGGGCACTTTGGGCAAAGCGAAACCGTAGTCCTGAGGAGAGAGCCCGTATTCGAGCCATAGTGTCCCTCAAGGCTCTTGTTGCCAAACATTTGCCCCCCAGGGACTTTGAGTTTGACTGGCGTGGAAGGTTCTGGGCTAATGGGGTCAGTGTGCTTGCCCACGTGGACCAGAAACGTCCGGATGATGGGGCTCTGTTGTTGCTTGATGTACGGGGCCACGAAACGGGATGGTGGGTCCCGGGTCCCCTTCTCGCTCGAACTTTGGGGATTGATCTCAAGGTCTTGCATACACACTTCGAGGTTGAGGCGTCAGGATCCCCCTAGGAGGGTGGCCGGAACAGGAAACGAGGGCGACCCCTCAAACCCGAATTCGTAGCATGTACCTGGAATCTTCATGGTAAAAGTCTCCGTGAGGTTGCTGATCTGTGGCAGGGGACTGTCCCATGCCCTGACTTTCTTTTTGTGCAGGAATTAGGTGCTTGTCCTGGGGCCACTCCTGAGGTTCAGGTCTCGGATTTTTGTTTTGGGTCTGTACCCTACAAGATGTATCACTGCAGCGCGCCCGAAGCACACCTCAACCAGGCTATTCTTGTCAAAACCGAACTGGAATTCCATGCGACACACAAGTCGGGGCTTCCCGTTGGTCTTGTCCTGCATGGTGCATGTCGGAATCACCGAATTCATTTGGCATGTTTGCATTTGCCCCACAGTAAACGGGTCAGCACCGAAGCTAAACCACGATCTTCTGCAGAGGAGGTTTGGAAGGACACCTTGGAGCTACTGGATTCTCAACTGCAGGATACAGGTGGCGAGGCCATGGTCATCGTCGGCGGTGATTTCAACCAGGACCTTCATGCCAGCTCGGACACCTTTTCGGGAATGGGGCTTCTGAGGGCTCTGCTTCAGAAACATAGCCTCTCGTTGCATCTTTCCGTGGGCATCACTTGGACGGCCCGTGGGGCTGCTAGCGAAATCGACGCTGTCCTGGCTCGTGTCCCTAGAAGTCTCACGTATGCTCACAAGCGGGATGACATGCGACTGGCGCTCCCCTCGGACCACTGCCCCGTCTTTCTGAGAATTTGCACCCCGATGCCGCTGCTCCACAGAGGCACACGCCCCACCACCAGGTGTGGCCGGTGGCTGCCCAGCATTCCGGAGCTGGAGAGCTATGCGGCCTCGGACATGGAGTTTGGTCCCTCTCGCATGTCTGAGTTGTGTTTAAAAGCCGAGCGAGTTCCTTCCCTTCGATACCAGGACTCTTCGGACCTTAAGGCCCTTATTGCAACCAGACGTGCCTGCCAGGACCCTCACACGAGAGCGAGCATGTTGTCCGAAATACGGGCACGCCGAACCAACGATCGGCACGAACACCAGTTGAACATTCTGCAGCGAGCCAGGGAAGGGGATAGGCAGGCTATCACGTACCTCCGAAAGAGTGCCGCGCATGCTTCGTTTGAAACCAGCTACATTGAGCAAAGAGGGGGGCAACAAGCGGCCAGCTTGGAACTCCGGCAGTTCTATGACCGCAAATACGCTTCCCTCCTCCCGCCTCCCACCGAGGAGGCGATCCATCGGATGATTGCTACACATTCCTCCGTTAGACCGCAGCCCTTTACTAAGGATGA